CAGGGGAGCTGGCTGGAGGGCCCTGTGGAGAAGGCGACTGGGAGGATGGGCCGCTCCGGGCTGGCCAGGGCACAGCCCCAGCTGACTGCTGCTGATTCCTCCATCCCTGCGAGGCTGGCTGCAGCCTTCCCTGTTGGGCTCGAGGCTCAGTCTCCAGGCACTTGGCTTCTCGGGGAGCTTAGTCTGGGCTGACGCCGCAGGCAGAGCACAGCCGGGTTTGGGGGGGAGGGGACTCCCTGCTAGAAGGAGCCTCAGAGCCCCACTGCTCATTCCCTGTCAGTGGCAATGGCTCAGGGCCCCCAGGCCTTTTTAGCCTCTAGCTCCCATCTGGGGGGAGGCCAAGGATCCCGGCGGGGAAGGGGCTCCAAACGGGGATGGGTCAGTCGTAGATGCACCAGGCGGCTGCAGGAAGGGGACACTGGCTGAAGCGCTGTACATGGGGCCCGGGCGGGAGCAGCTCTGCACCGCCCCCTTCCCTGTGAGGGGATGAACAGGCACCAGGCGAAGGCTGCAGGGGGATCTTTAATGTGTGACCAGAGCCTCCAGCGAGAGAACGAGCCCCAGCCCCAGCTGTACAGAGGACAGTATCTGGCCAAGCACTGCCCTGCGGGCTGGGGGGGATTGCCCCGTGACACCCCTCGCTCCTCCCGCTGCCTGGCTCTCAGCCCCAGCCCTGGCCCTTCCACCAATGCCTCTCCCCTGGCTGGGGCAGCCTGCATCCATCTCCCCGCCCCCCTGGCTTTTCCCAGCCCACGTGTGGTTTGGACACACACTGCTGGCGGCTTTACCCAACAGGCAGTCGGTTGGGCCTCCGTCCCCCTCTGCTATTCCCCAAACCTTAGCACTGCCCATCCCACCTTTTCCCTAACCCTATGGGCAGCTACAGGCTCTAGCCCTCTGTAGGATGGGTCAGAACCCTTAGAGGAATTCCACTGGGCTGTCCCCTAAGGACATGGGAGAGGCTGGCTAGGTACCTCCACCTCCCAGAGCTTCACTCATCCCCCAGCAGGAAGGGCTGGCTCTGCCTCCCCAGCCCCAGGGCTCCCTCCACCCCACAGCAGGAAGGGCCCCCTCTGCCCCACAGCACGCAGGGCGGTGTTCTACTCCAGTCCCCCCTCGTGGGAGATACAGGCGCTGGGCCTCCCGAAGGAGCTGGAGGTTCAGGGCAGCAGCCCAGGTGGGCAAGATCAGAAGGTGAGGCTCTTCTCAGTAGCGCAGGCCTGAGGCTGCCCCCGTCCCGGGGGCAATGGCATGAAGTGGGAAATGCCTGCGCCTCCACACCTTCCCATGGGTGCTGATCGGGTCTCGGGGGGTCAGGCCCACTGGCTCCAGTCTGTGCCTCTGTGGTAGGGTGGGGCTCTCTCCAGAACTGGGGTGTGCTTGTCGGGGAGCAGCGGTGCAGGGGGTGCGTGTGCCAGGAACCTACGAGCTCCATGCAAAGTCGCCCAGGCCCTGGGGACGGGCATGGGGGAAGCAGGAGGAATGGATGGGGAGCAGTGGGGGCCCTCGAGGCAGTGCTTGGCCCAGCCCCCCAAGAGTCTTTCCTTGCTTAAGGCTGTTGCACGGCAGGAAGGTTTTGGTGCGTCGGCAGAGACGGCTCCTGGCCCAGCACTAGGGCACTTGGGGTCTGTCCAGGGGGTGGGAATCTCAGCTCCTCCCCCCCCATAGCCAGTCTGTGGGCGCTGTCTGGGAGGAGGACGCCCTGTTCTCCCTGCTCAGAGGTCGCTCTCCACCCCGTCCTTCCCCAGCAGCCCGTTGACAGGGCTCAGTGCCAACCGGTTGCTCTCGTTGAGCCGCTGCACGCGGTAGCTCTCGTAATGCACGTTGTGGGTGATGTCCTTGAGATCCTGCAGGTGGGACCTGGGGTGGGTGGAGAGCAAGAGGCAGGGGGTAAAGGGGCAGGAAGAACAGCTCCAGCCAGGCCCTGGGCCCTGCAGCCAGAGGCCCCCAAATAGGCTAAGCGTGTGCTGTAAAAGCCATCCCACTATGAGGGGCAGAGCCTTGCTGCCATCCCCCTCCCTCCAGAAGCACCACCCCCTCTGCCAGTCCCCCAAGGGCTGCCCTCACTGTCCCATGGCTTCCCCTCCAGGACCCCAGCCCAATCCCGCACTCCCCGCTGAGTGACCCAACTCCTACGGCTTTCCCTGGGAGTGGAGGGTGCTGAGCCCTGCACAGGGATGGGCTCCAAGCGGGGGCCAGGCCCTCCCCAACCCCACCCTGCGTGCCTGGGGCTGTACCCCTCTCCCTGCGCGTTAGGGGGGCGGGCCCAGCCAGGCGTCTCACCGGATGAGCAGGTCTCGGAGCAGGGGGAATTCGCAGTGCGCTGGGTTCTCCACTGAAAAACAAGACACAGATGAGGTGTAGCCAGCCCTACCACCTGGGTGGAGCACAGGAGGGATTCAGATGCATAAGGAATGCATTCAAAGCCACCCTGGCCAGAGCAGCACCCCATGTTCTGCCACCATCCCATCCCCCGCCTTGGCTTTTAACTCCATCTTGTCCGCTCTGTCCTTTACTGGGAGACTAGATCCCCGTGTTCAAAAGAGCAGCCCAACTCCAGGGCACCGCGTCCAGGCAGCGGCCTCAGCGTGGTGCTCCACGAGGCCTGCCTGGATGGAGTGGACACAGCAACGGGACCCCAAGGAGTGCTGCAGGGGGACCCAGGAACAGCCCTGGTTTGCACGTGTGTTCGTACGTGGAGGCATGCCGGTGGGGCTGCTCCCGGGGGTAGCTCTGTGTCCAGTGGTGTTCAGAGACGTCGCATGTGCAGTGAGAGTCTGGATATGGGAGTGAGAGGGAGCGCTCGCCGTGTGTGCACGTACAGGGGTTGTGGGGGAGCCCTGTGCTAATACACATTAATACACATTAGCACATGTATGATGGCTGCACATGGGTATACAGGCTTGGAATCCCCGCTGATAAACACCTGTTGGGGAGGGTCTAGGTTTACTTGGTCCTGCCTCAGCGCAGGGGGCTGGACTAATCAACCGCTCGAGGTCCCTTCCAGCCCAGGTCTCATATTCCGTGTGTCCCCGTGCAGTTCCACACGCAGAGCGCGTGCCTAGGGGTTCGTGTGTGTCAGCCTGGCTTTGCATGGGTTTGGGAGCGCCAGGCCAGCTCCAGCTGCCCCCCTGCAGCCGCGCCAGTCCCCTCCATGCACAGTGAGCTGGTGAGCTCTCCCTCTGGCACGGAGCACAGCCAGGCAGCAGCTGGGAGCCTTCAGCCAGCGTTCTGACGGGTTACCTGGCAGCGCCGTGGGCGCACGGTTCCAGCTGCCTTTGATAAATGAACAGGCCCTTGGTAACGCGCTCCAGAAAGGCTCTTCCCAGGCCCCAGCTGACCCCCAGCACCAGCCAGGCGCAGGTGCAAGGGCTCACAGGGGAAAAGGGCCTGAGGCTACAGCGACTGCTTGGGACGTGGGGGGAGGATGGGTGGTCTCGTTGCTGAGGCTGCAGGAGCACGGGCATGGCAGAGCACCACAGCGTCCCTGCCTGGGGATGAGGCCCATGGATCCCTGCACACCCAGGAGGTTGGGGGGCCGGGAAGAAGCCTGCATCTGCAGTGGTGACTCACAGCGCGGTGCTGGAGGAAAGCTAAGGGCCGCCTGGCAGATATAATGGGCCACGTTCCACGCTAGCGTCATTCTGACTAGTTCAGGAGGCTGACCCCAGGGGTGACCCGAGTGCAGTGTATGTCCTGAGTGCGAGGGATGGGCTTGGTGCTGCACACGCTTCACCCCAGCTCTCAGCAGAGCCTGCGGATCCCCGGCGCTCAGGGAGCAGCACAGCACCAGAGGGGAGTGGGCAGGCCCAGACAGGCTCCAGCTGCCCCAGCTCCCTACTGGGCTTGTGGGTCTCTTGGGGAGGAGCTCCCAGCTGCACTGGCTGCAGCAGTGCTCAGGGGACGGCTGGCTCGGGAGGATGCCTGCTTGCTGCACTTCCCAGGCCCTGCGTGTCAGGTTTATTGCAGCCCAGGTGTGATGCTGGGAGGGGCGCTTGCTGCAGGAGCCAGGTATCACAGCGGCCTGGCAGATCGCTGGGAGCGAGAGGTGAAGGCAGTGGCGCGATCGCAGCTCCACTCCACAGATGCTGGGCAGGGCCAGGCCAGGTTCAGTAAGCCCGGGAAGGAGCTGGGAGGACAGCCAGAGCTGGCTTTGGACACAAGGGCACCATTGGGCACAGAGCTCCAGAAGCCTGCCCAAAACAGCAGGGGCTGGGAGTGCAGATGCAAGCGGAATGGTATGCCGGAGAACCCAACTCCACCAGCGTGCAGCCAAGTCCCTGGCTGGGTTGCATCTGCGAGGGGCAGTGGATCTACCAGCCCGAGGCTCAGGAACCCTCCAAACCCTCCATTCACAGACCAGCCAGGGGGACAGAGCCAGTGTTAGCGGGGGTCCATTGGGAGCTGGGCAGCTGGAGGACAGGATCCGTCTCAACACTAGGAGTACCCAGCTGCCATCTCTGCTCAGGATGAGGAACCCAGAGCTGCGCCCCACCCATGTTCGAGGGGCCTGTTACCTTCAATGATTCCCCACTTGGTCTTGCGGCCCAAGACCCTCTTCCCGTTCACCTGATGCTCCTTGTCCGCTCCCACCACCGCAAAGGGGATTTTGTCCTGCATGGGAAGAGGGGGCAGAGTCACTGTAGAACTGGGACAGGCCCACATCTCTGATCAGCGAGCCCTGGCACTGCCACTCGGGGGCAGGCTCCCTCCTCAGCGCTGCTGTCACTGCTCAGCACAGCTGCCCGTCCGCCTGTCCCAGCCAGAGAGGGACACAGAGCATCCCACGGCAGCCGGTACCAGCCTAGCTCAGCTCTCCCCCCTGCCCCCACCCAGCCTCCCAGCACTCACTCGAATTTTATCATTCAATATCCTGTCGTCTGGGTTGTCATCAAAATCCTCCTGGGGATAGACGCTGATGCCGTGGGCCTTCAAGTCCTTCTGGATCTGCAGGAGACAGCACCTGTGAAATTGGTCTGTGCTAGCAATGGAGTTGGCGACTGTTCATCCTAAAGCCCTCAAGAGAGTATATAATCTCTCCTACCACTGAAATGTGGCCACCTCTGGGGTGGAGCAGGGCACTTGTTAAACAGCCCGCAGCAACACAACCTATGTGCTTAGAACCCTGTATCCAATTGACTCGCATGGGGGGATTTCAGGTGGGCAGGGGTCATTGCAGGAGCTGATATTTGGCTGGGACACTGAGTGTCAGATGCCGTGACCATGAGCTGCTGCCTCCTGCTGCTTTCCTCTCTGTCCCTGATGTGCCTCTGCTCAGCTGGGGGGAGAAGAGACACACAGACGCCTCTGTCTTACCGCAAGAGACCTGTGGGTTCTTGGGTTGCCCTGGCCCTATTGGAGACCACCCAGCTGTTTGGGGCAATCTTACCCAGCCCAGCCCTTTAACATCGCTCAGCCCCCAACCCACCCTGAGAAGCACCTCAAGCCATGCTGCCTACGCCCAGCCTCGCCCCAAGGGCTCTGGGGTTCCCGTGCACAGCTGCGCTGGCCTGCCCTCCTCCCAGGTGAGGTAAGAGCTCCATCTCTCCCTTACGAGGCCCCTCACCCTCTGCTTGAACTCGGCCCGTTCCTCCAGGGTCAGCGTGTCTGCCTTGGCGATCACTGGCACCACGTTGACGATCTTACTCAGCCGCCTCATGAACTCCAGATCCAAGGGACGCAGCCTGAGAGGGAAAGCCCTGGGTGTTCAGCATGGCCAGAGGGGGTCGCTGGCGCAACGAGATTGGAGATCCTCCATTCTCACGCTGCTTTCCCCGCCTCCCCCCAGCCATGGGCCCCATCCTGGCAGACTGGGGCAGAGACGGCCAGCCACTGCCCTCAGACCAGTGGCACCATCAGAGCAGAGAGGCCAATGGGAATGGAGAGCCAAGTCCTCTAGCAACTGACAGCAGCAGCAGCGAGGTGAATTCACCCACACAGCCCTAGCTGTGGGGCTGACCCAGAGGGGCCCACTGAGATGGGGAGCAGGGGGCCAGCCGGGATGTGGACTCTCCTTCGGTAGGAACCGGCCCAAGACGGATTCACACGCCACACACCGGCCCCCAGCCAGCTGAGCTGGTTACTGCCCCAGCCGGAGGCAAGCTGGCTTCCTCATCCCACTAGCAGCTCCATGAGCCAGCCAATCCCTTACAAAGGGCTCAGGCTGCCCCCCCTAGGGAGAGGTCAGCCCAGCAGGGCATTTGGGTAGCCAGGCAGGGCACTCAGGAGCAGGCAGAGACTGATCACAGCTCACCAGTGGCCAGTGGGTGGCACGAAGTACACACAGCTGTGGACCCTGGTGTCTGGGATCTTCCGTTTGCGGCTGATGAGGATCTCCTCTCTCAGGTACTTCTCGTACTGCTCGTTGATGTACTTGATGATGGGGTCCCAGCTGGGTGATGGGAGAGGAGGCAAGAGACTGATCACCCGCATCCCCTAGGCACTGTGCGCACTGCACACACGGGAACTGTCCCACCCACCACTGAAAGGCAGCCACCTCTGGGGCGGAGACCAGCACCAGCGCACAGCAGAAGGAGCTCAGATCTGACAGCGTGGCATAAACCCTTCGGCGAAGTGGGGTTGGAGGAAGGGGGTGGTGTTTTAACCAAATCCCTAACTCTTACAGAAGTGTCCCAAGAGCTTTGGTGTCCCCACAGAGCGAAGAAGAGCTGGGTTTTAGGGTCTCCTCTGAAATCCCCCACAGTAACAGCCTGGAGCTCACACAGTAACTGCCTGGAGCTCAATGGATCTAGCTCATGCAGCTGAAAGGCAGAGTCCGCAGTGCCAGGGTGTGACTCTCTGGTGCCAGGGTGTCACGTTATTACCAACCAGCTGCTCAGACTAAGCCTTCCCTGGTGCCCCTCCTTCCATGGCCCGCCCCCGGCCAGCAACGCTGGGCTCCCTCCCACCTTGCTCACATTGCCCTTGGGGTCCCCAGAACCGGGCGAGAACCTACCAGTTTTCATTGTTGATCTGGTCGCCGAACCCTGGCGTGTCTGTCACAGTCAGCTTCATCTTCACGCCCTTCTCTTCGATAACTACCGGGGGCAGAGGGTGCAAGGTCACGGGAGGGGGGGCCTCCAGGAGTCCCCTGGCCCCCCGCTGGGCATCTCTCGCACAGAGCCCCTCCCCAGATCCTGCTGGCTTCCCACTGCTCTCTGGGCACACTCCGCTTGGGCATTTCCCCGGACACACGCAGCAGAGCGGTCCAGGCCTGGAACTAGCAGCTGTGGGGGCTGGGGAGGGACCTTGGTGGCTGCCTAGCACCTGGGGCACAGCGTGGGGAATCCATCCACTAGGCTCGCCCAGGCCAGGGGGCAGCAGCAACGGCCCCGCGGGCGCCCGGGCAGGCCGAGATGGGAGGACGGGGACGATGGGGCCGGATCCTGCCCCCAGTGAAGTCAATGGAAGCTCTGCCGTGGCCAGGGAATTGCCCTCATGCCTGCTGAGCTCTCACTCCCCTGCCTGGAGCAGAGGGGCAGGAGCCACAGGCAGGCTGGCCTTCCCCTGGGGGGTCGCTCTCGGGACAGGAGGCGGCCAAGCCAGAGGCTCACAAAGGAGCCTCTGTTTCCCAGGGCAGCAGGCGCTTCTGAAATTGTCAGGAAGAGACTAGCGAGCACCAGCCGGCCGGGGATGGCAGGGTGGGCTGGGGCCCATGGGGCGAGGGCGGGGCCTTGCTGGGCCCAAAGAGTCCACTCTGCGGCTCACGGGGGGAAGGATCCAAGGCTATGCCAGGACTGCCAGAAGGATGGGGGAGGGGGTCATGGTGGGGCATCTGGCAGGAGGGGGGCTGCACAAGGGCTCCTGGAGAGCTGATGTCATGGGGTTCCCAGAGGAACAGACATGGTGGGCGAGGAAGGGGTCCTTCCCGCGGCTCCTGGAGGGCTGAGGAGCAGGGGACCTTACCGTGGGTGACGGACTGCAGCTGCACCGTCTTTGGGATGTGCTCCTCATAGCCGGGGCCTGTGGGTTTCCGGCTCACCTTCGACTTGAAGAGGGTGTTCACCATTGTCGACTTCCCCAGGCCGCTCTGCCCTGCACAGGGATAGAGAGAGACGGCGTGTGAGCTGCGCTCCCGCCGCACCCAGAGGATGGGCACGTGGGATCCAGGACACACTCCCCTGGCTCGCCAAACTGGCCACTCCGTCTCCCCTATCCCATCTCTCCGCTGAGCTCCTGGAGCATTGCTGAGCGGCAGAGGAGGCAACGGACAGCAGGCAGGAGGAGATGGAGGGGCCTCTGGTCCCCAGACATGGGGCTGCAGGGTCGGCAGGGCACAAGCTTGGTTCACTCACTAATGGGGGGACGCCATGACCAGCCTGCCCCATCCCCTCCCCAGGTCCCGGTTCGGAAAGCACCAGCCACTGCTCGCTTCCCCTTCTCTCTTCCCCTGGCTTCGCTTTCTGCTGCAGCCCTTAGTGATTAGCTCAGCAGCACCCCATGCACCCCAAGATGTCCTGGTGTCTAAGCTAGCCTAACCCCCACCTCCGTCGACAGCCCCACATGCCCCCAGGCATCCAAAAATCCGGATACCCCACATGTCCCAGCACTCCCACCTGGGCGGTTTTACTGCTGTCTTCTTAGACTCCCCATGTGTTAGCAAATGCAGATGGCAGGTGCCCCCCCCCCACTTCCACCGTCACTGCGGTCTAGGATCTCTTCCCTGCTGGAGACCCTCATGGGGCGACCCCAGCTGGCCCCGTATGTCACCGCAGGCAGGAAATCTAACCCGGGGAGGTGGTTAGCGGACAGTCCCTGCTGCACTGGGAGGCTGGGCTGGCGCAGCCCCAGTGCCCAGATCCTGCCGCTCTCGGGGTCACGGGTGGTTTAAAGAACATTCTTCCCCGGAGCGTCAGTAACACAGAGCAGGAGGGAGCAGGCCGGGGGATTCTGCGCTGGAGGGAGGGGCTGGCAGCCGCACCCCTGGGAAGGAGAAGTGAAAGTGACCAGCATACAGAAAGGGAGTCATTGCAAGAGTCCGTCTAGCTCCGAACACTGTATACACCTCTCACTCTTCTGCTTCTGTGGTTGGGGTCCTGACAACAGCAGGAGCAGGTGTTCCCAGTGCCCTGGCTGGCCACCCACCCACCTGCCCGCTTGACTCTTGGGCCCACTGTATGTTCCTCCCAGGGCTTAGGACAGCCCGGCAGGTGTCCAGTCCCCATCCTACACCCCACCATTGCCTCCCTGTGCAGGACCCTTCGAGCAGCCCTGTGCCCACCTCTTTCCCTGGCTACAGCTTTCCCCCAAAGCTCCAGGTCTCGTCTTTGTGACCCTTCCAGAGTGGGGGGCCCAGGAGCGGGCTGGAGTCAGTCACGTGTCCATGGAGGGAGGCGGGCGCTCCGGTGCTGGGGCAGCTGTTGGATTGCAGCTGCAGGGGGAATTAGACTGAAGCCCACACGAGCGGTGGGGCTGCTTCTTCCAGGGCTGGTCGTTCACCATAAACAAACACTACCGGCACAGGCGATCAGCGGGCCAGCACTAGTGCTCACTGAGCCCCCGGCACCACCTGAACCCGCAGGCCAACCCGGCTTTCCCCAGCAACAGCTGGGCCCCTGTCCCAGCTGGCTCAGCCCTTAAGCAGGGGGGGGGGAACCATGCGCTGCCATCACATCTCACCCCCAAGACACAACTGCGGGCAGTGCCTCCTGGCAGGATTGCTTCCCCCACCAGCTGTGTGCAGATGGGAGGGGGATTCCATCGCTGATGTGCTTTGCTAGGGGCACTTGACACACATGGGGTGTGTGTGAGGAGAGCAGGGATGAGCCTGCACACAGGTGGGGTTTGTACACAGAGGGGACAGGCATGCACGCAGGGTGGGATCTGTACGCATGGGGCATGTGTGCACATACAGGGCGGGGTTTGCACATAGGGTGACCAGACAGCAAGTGTGAAAAATCGGGACAGTGGGTGGGGGGGTAATAGGAGCCTATATAAGAAAAAGACCCAAAAAACAGGACTGTCCCTATAAAATCGGGACATCTGGTCACCCTATTTGCACAGGATGGGGTTTGCACGCATGGGACAGCAGATGGTATGTGCCCATGGTGGGGTTTGAACAGGGAGGAAGGGGTGGGGGTGTGTACAGGGTGGGGTCTGCAGATGGAGGCGGGGTGAATGTGCACACAGGGCAGGCGTTTGCACAGGGAGGAAGGAGTGGGGGTGTGTACAGGGTGGGGTCTGCAGATGGAGGCGGGGTGGGTGTGCACACAGGGCGGGCGTTTGCACATGGAGGAAGGGGTGGAGGTGTGTACAGAGTGGGGTTTGCAGATGTAGGAGGGGATGGGTGTGCACAGAGGGCAGGCGTGTGCACATGGAAGAAGGGGCGGGGGTGTGTACAGGACGGCAGATGGAGGAGGGGTGGGTGTGCACCGAGGGCAGGCGTGTGCACACGGAGGAAGGGGCAGGGGTGTGTACAGGTTGGGGTTTGCAGATGGAAGAGGGGTGGATGTGCACATGGCAGGCGTTTGCACAGGGAGGAAGGGGTGGGGGTGTGTACAGGTTTGCAGATGGAGGAGGGGGTGGGTGTTAACGCAGGGCTGGTGTTTGCACATGGAGGAAGGGGTGGGGGTGTGTACAGGGTGGCAGATGGAGGAGGGGTGGGTGTGCACACAGGGCAGGCGTTTGCACAGGGAGGAAGGGGTGGGGGTGTGTACAGGGTGTGGTTTGCAGATGGAGGAGGGCTGGGTGTGCACACAGGACAGGGGTTTGCACAGAGAGGAAGGGGTGAGGGTGTACAGGGTGGCAGATGGAGGAGGGGTGAGTGTGCACAGGGAGGAAGGGGTGGGGGTGTACAGGGTGGCAGATGGAGGGGGGGTGGGTGTGCACAGGGAGGAAGGGGCGGCGGTGTGTACAGGTTTGCAGATGGAGGAGGGGTGGGTGTTACCACATGGAGGAAGGGGCGGGGGGGTGTACAGGGTGGCAGATGGAGGATGGGTGGGCGTTACCACACGGAGGAAGGGGCAGGGGGTGTACAGGGTGGCAGATGGAGGAGGGGTGGGTGTGCACACGGGGAGGAAGGGGCGGGGGGTGTACAGGGTGGGGTTTGCAGATGGAAGAGGGGTGGGTGTGCAGCAGGGTGGGCGTTTGCACTCAGGGGGGCGGGCGGATTTAAAGTTGCTCTTAGACAGGGCAGAGCATTTGTTCTTGCTCCAGGTAGCACCATGTGGGTGGGAGGCTGAATGGCCCTCAGAGGGCTGTGATGTGAAGGGCCCCCCAGGCCCACACATGCGGGCTACACAGTGCTGGCTAACTAGAGCACCCACCTCTCTGACTGCGTCTAGTCTCCTTTCCGAGCTCTGGAGGGGTGCGGGACGCCAGCCATTACCATGCAGGCCCTGCAGGGCTATTGCAGCGCTGGCCCAGGACTCAACACAGCACGACTGACCAGGGTCACTTCCACCCCTGCCGGGGCTGTTGGGGATGAGGTCGCAGACTCCCAGGCCAGACGGGCCCACCATGATCGCCTAGGCCGAGCCCCTGGCTCCCTGACGCTGCAGGCCCCGCCAGGCCAGGAGCAGCAGGAACGCTGGGGACTTTCCTGGCTTTCTAGAACTTCCTGGCATGAGGCAGCTTTGCCCTGCACAGCTCCCTTCACCCCAGCCCGGCTGAAGGAGGAAAACAGCCTCACACCCACTGAACGCAACCCCTAGCCTGCTGCACGGAGCTGGGGAGCGCAGAAGTTCCTCAGCATGATTTACCTTCCCTTGTCAAGACACACTGGCTCCAGCTGAGACAGCCCTGCAGGCAAGGAAGCTGCTAATGAATCCGGATGGTGGTGTCTGAGACTAGGGCTCTGCAGGGAGTGAGCAAACTTCCTCCACATGCCTTTGCCAAAGCCCCTCAAGCCTGATCTGCTGCCCCACCCGCTAGCCCAGCCCTGCGACTCCCCCAGCTCGGCCAATGCACCTCCAGCTTGTCCGGCAACTCCCCTGCCATCCCAGCCCTGCGACTCCCCCAATGCACCTCCACCTTGTCCGGCAACTCCCCTGCCATCCCACCCCTGTGACTCCCCCAGCTCGGCCACTGCACCTCCACCTTGTCCAGCAACTCCCCTGCCATCCCAGCCCTGTGACTCCCCTAGCTCGGCCAAGGAACGGAGACCTGCAACTCCCACCACTAGGCCAATCTTGAGTCACTCTGTCCTGTACAGAGTGCGCTGCTGATCGATCGGCAAGCCAGGGTCAGGCTGGTACCGTATGAAGTTGACCAGGGCTTGACTCGATTAGCTGACAGCTAGTAGCCAAAAGACAAAGCCTAGTAGCCAGGATGAAACAGTGGCACCCTCCCCTCTGCCCAAAGCACACCCATCCCATTCTGCGCTGTGCTGACAGTGGGCTACAGATAGCTGAAGTGGTAACCCTGCCTCCCCATGCCAGTAACACACCTAGTGTCCGCACACACGTGCTCTCCCAAGGTGCTAGTCAGGCATAGCACGGGCTGGGTTAGACGTGCTGCAAACCAGGCTAACTCCCAGGCCCTCTGCAGTGGTGAGGACTCCTGGAGCGTGGGCAGGAAGCACTGGTGCAATAGTCCCCATGGTGCAAATACTCCTCAGGTCACCGCAGATGGGGCCAGCTTAGTCGCCTATTGTACTGCACAGGGGGCAAGGTTGGCAGTTGCCACTGACTGTTCTATGGAGCCCCGGGGAGCCCGGGTAGGGGCTGTTTCACCAAAGTGTGTTCTAAGGAACTTGGCCTCTTCTCCCCATGCTCCCCCCGAATCTTTGCCCAATTGCCTTCAAGACACCATTCGGGGGGCTGGGCTGGGACCCATGGGACAGTTACCAAGAGAGAGGGCAACTGCAACGGAGCAGTGCAGTACAAATGCAGCTGTGGGGCAAAGCTCCCTGGAGCAGCTCGGGCAGCCCTGGGGACACTTACGCCAGGGCCAGACACCATTCAGTTTGCAGCAGCTTCTGTCACTAATGCAGATGCACCCCGGTCCCTCTGCTGCAACCTAACTCAGGCCTGCAGGGAGTTTAGCTATTTCACCCTGAGGATCAGGCCTCCCCTCTTCTGCCCAAGCTATTGCAT